GGGGCACAGTAACCTGCCTATTTTTTGTTTTATAAATAAAATAATTTTGCTGATTAAAACTTGCTATTTTCCATCTCTTATAAAGCCAAAGATTCACTATTTTTGGCTTTGGGGTATAATGGGGTAGAGCAAAATGACTCTTTAAATTGTATGACTTCTTTTAATGGTGAAGTATCAGTCAGTCAACACAACTTTCAACACGCATCAATGTATCATAGGTCAGCTGGAAACAGCCATCCTCTATTAAACATAGGGGTCAGGCTGCGTACATCCTCCCCCCCCTCCCCGCAGCGAGCAGGAGCCTCTAAGGCATTGGTGTACTATTGTTGTTGGTGGTGGCGTTGGTGTTTGCTGATCAGATCTTGCTCTATTGGATCAAAATGTGAAGTGTTGAACTGGATCCGAAGCTGAATAATTTGCTTTTAATTCCCACTCCAAAAGTGTTGGACTGAAAAGTACTGAATTTTTTTAAAAATAAGTTGAAAAGAACAAACTCTTAGTTGTGGGATAAAGGTGCATCTCAACAGGCAATTTCTTGTTGGAAAAGTGTACTGTCAGTGACTGAATTGTATACCTAAAGTGTCAACCGTATGCCGAGTAGTTATCATCCAAACCTGTATTGATGCCCTTAGATGGTGGCATTTCTTCATTGCAATTTTCATCATCTATTTCAGAATATACTCTCCATAATTCCATTAAATACTGATAAATTCCACCCCAAATTGCCCTAAAAAAATATCATTTTCAAGTATTTCATAAGATTTGCCAAAACAGTACCTTCTCCTCTATTCTTTTTCATCAATAACTAGTTCAGGTTACAGGCGTTACACAGCCAAATAAGTCAGCTTTCTATTGAAAGACTGATAAAGCCAATAAACAGAAATAGAATAAAAGGCAGTGGCATAGGAAAGGGGAAAGGGAAACACAGTAGAACACATGCCCCCCACCCCACCCCACCCAAGAACTCTACCCTGCTTCTGACAACTTATAAAAGGTCATCCAACACAAACTAACTTACAATGATCCATTGCAGGTTAACGCATCGGGTGATATGTGTGCTATTTGCCAGGAGAAGATGCAGGCACCCATTCTCTTGCCCTGCAACCACATCTTTTGCGAAGACTGTGTCTCTGAATGGTTGGCTTTTCTTTATCACATCTTATTTTACAGCTTTGTCCCCAATTCATTTTGATGGCCATGATGATGTTGAAATCACAGAGGCTTCCTCTGTGATTTCAGCATCATCATACCTTTGATCTCAACTGCCAAACATCATCAGACCTATGTTTGTGCAGGTTTGAAAGAGAACGAACTTGTCCTCTGTGCAGAGCCTTGGTTAGAGCCCCTGATCTACAGTCTTTCGGAGATGGATCGACGAGCCTTTTCTTCCAACTCTTTTGAACAATTCCGGCGTTCACGCACTGTACAAAGAAAGTAACACACTAATTTATGTTGGGTTCTAACACATCCCTTTATGCCTCAGAAATTACTGCTGATCTCTCTGGTTCAGAAATCTGATCAGCTGCTACGGAAGCCTAAAATGGTGAAGGAGCTTCATATTTCAACTCAGTTTACGTCTAATGGGTTTTTTTTCTTCTTCTTAAGTACTTAAAATTAAATTGTTATCTGAATATTTTGGAACAATTGTACAGATGTACCACATATTTATGGTACAAAACATTCCTTTCGCTTGGTAAATTGAAAAATCACATCCATTTTGTAGCGGACTAAACCGTCCCCGCTACATAGTCCAATTTGGATTATTCTCCTTTTCTTCGTTGTTTATTCATACTTTATTTAGGACTTAGCTTACTTATAACTTATAAGTTAAAAATTACTCCCTTTGTCTCATTTTAAATTGTTCTTTTTTCTTTTTTTGTCTGTCCCAGAATAAGTTGTCTGTTTCTTATTATAGTAAATTTCTAAGGATAAAATACACAAATTATCCTTAAAATAAGTTACTCATTTCCACCTTGTCTTCTCATTCATTGTCATCCCCCAAAAAAAGTAAAGACGTTTTTGGAAAATTAATAATATTTTTTCACTCTCTTAAATATGTTTTAAATTCAAAACAGATAATATAGAATGAGACGGATGGAATACTTATAAGTTAAAAATTACTTATAAGTACGCAAAAATATGTCATGAGCTTACTTATAAGTTAGAGATTGATTATAAACAGTTTTGATTAACTTATAACCACTCAGATCACTCCATACATCTTAAACTACTTCCTATTTTAATATGGAATAGTTTATAAAATAATTACTTCAAAGTGCATTACATGATTCTTTTTTTTAAAAAAAAAAAAAGAGGTTAAAACTATTCAATTACAAGAAACAATAGTAAATTCTACGGGACATATACAAACTACAAAGTTGCACGATAATATCCACAACTAGTTCAGTGAAGTGCTTGAAACAACGCTTGAAACAATTGGTTCATTGAAGTGCTTGAAACAAAGCTTGGAGATTTTAATATGCTGCTTTTTCTGATTTCAAAAATTGGCTCAGGCCTAACCCATTAATCGTTTGGGCTTTACCGAGGTCGTCTATGTTGACAGGCTTCCCATGTAGCGGCAAACAGAAAAACAAATTTGGGCCTAATTTTTGTTTCCCGAATGCAGACGGTTGTTTTCAATGGTGGTGAACATTAGGTAAATGGTGTAAGGGTAAAATAGTTATCTCATACGGAGTATCTTTTTTAGAATTTCAAAGGTGATTTCAGAAACACTTCAAATGCTCATTCGTTATTTATAAGCCAATTTATATAAATATTTCACTCATTATTTTTAAGTTATTTATAAATTAAAAATTATTTATTTGTAATAAGTTAAGTGAAACTTGCACTGAATAACACTAAAATATACGGAGTATGTCATTTCTCAATGTAGCACTTTAACTTATTAATTTCTTAAATAGTACTTGAATAATATTTAGTGGTGTGAACAATTTTCAGTGATGGTTGACATTTAGTTTGAACAATATCCAGTATCGGTCGACATTTACTTGAACAATGACCAGTGGACATTGAACATTGATACTACTCCGTATTACATTGAAAAAGTCACTATATTTTAGTACTATTTAAGTAAATTTTTCATAAGTTAATAAGTACCAGTACCGATAAATGCAATATTAAATTTTCTAAGTTGTCCAAGCATGAATTAAATCTTTATTATATTATTTATATGTAGTTATGTTTTTATAAGTTTAATAAAAAATAAATTTGATTTTTTAATCAAAATGAATTTTAAAAAATGTGAAAAGAAGATGTGTGAATTATGTACACTATGTTTGGTTCAAGGAATTTGAGAGGGAAAAGAAAAGAAAATGAGAAGGAAACTATTTTTGCTTGTTTGGTTAGAGAGGAAAAGAAAAGAAAAGTGGAAGGAAAAGAAAAGAAGAAGACAAAATGTAATAAGAGGAAGTAAAACAGAAATCCTCCCATTTTGATGAGGAAAATGAGAGAAAATCATTTTATTTTCTTTTCCTGCCGAATTCCTTGAACCAAACATAGTGGTAAGGTTTCTAATATTATGATTTTTTTGGGAGGATGAATACACTATACTCCGTATAAATAAACAGAAACCAAATAAATACAAAAAAAACAACACACTAATTAATTACTCCCTCCGTCCTAATTAATTTATTTACTTTTAATTAATTTATTTACTTTTTATGCAAGATAGTACTCCCTTTGTCCCATAGTATTTTGTTCATTTTTTATTTTTTAGTAAAAATAAGTAAACTTTGACTTCAAATTAAATAAAAATAACATTATATATTGATACAAAAATAATTTTATTACATTTCTTATATAAGATATTTTCAAAAGATTATTTTATATAATTAATATACAATGTGTATTTTATTTAATTATAGATTAAAGATTGAAAATAATTGATTAAAAAAATCAAAATTAGACAAATATTTTGGGATGGATGTAGTAAAACATTCCATTTTTTGTCTAGCAATCCAAAAGAGCTACTCTTTAATCTTAGGGTCCGTTTGGTATACAGAATTGATGAAATTGAAATTGAATTGGAATTGAAATTACATGAGATTCAATTTCATAGAATTGAATTCACCAATTCCAATTCATTATTATACTATCAATTTCAAATCCACATGAATTTTGTGTTACCAAATACCAGAATTGAAATTGAATTCTTCAATTTCAATTCCATAGTTTGAATTCCGTATACCAAATGGGCCTTATAGTTTTTCAAAATTTGAGATACAAATCTTTATTGTGATACAAATAGCTTAATTCAAAATAAAAAAAAGCAAGAAAATCCATTCTCGTGACAATAATGGATCTATCATAGTTCTCAAAAAAAAAATGGCCCTATCATTTCAAAACCAAACACATGAGTAAACCTAACAACAATGCGTTACCCACTCGACCAAACACTACATACAAAATGATTAAAGTATTTGTACATCAAAATTTGTATTCATTTTATACTTGAATGGTATACACTAGGGATGTAAAGAAATCAAATATTTTAAATTCGATTCGCGATTCGTATTTGAATATGATGATTCGAATTCGCGTTATTCAAATACAAATTCAAATATTATTTTTGATTCGAATATTAATCAAATACAAATACAAATAGGGATATATTCGATTCGGATGATATTCGAATATTCGAATATATGCATATATATATAGACCATGTTTTCAACATTAAAAGTCAAGGAAAGTAATATACGGAGTAGTATTAAATGTATTTAAAATACTGAGAATTCAATAAATTAACGTAACACAAAAATCTAAAGCATATGATTTTTAATAGTTATATTTTATAAAATATAATTTGTGTAAGATGCAAATGTATTAATGTTTTTATATAGGTAATATAGTATAGTATAAAGAGTATCGTAAGTTAAATTGTAAATTGATGTTGGTCCATCATATAAATTACATAGTATGATTATTCAAATATTCGTTTATGATTCGATAACTATTCGAATATTAATCAAATATTTATTCAAATCTTATTTTGAATTCGTCTCATATTCGAATTCGGATTCGTATTCGAAAAAACTAAATAAATACAAATTCAAATATATCGGTATTCGCTTCGATTCGATTCGTTTACACCCCTAGTATACACTGACATTTTCTGCTAGTGTGATGCTAAAATGATGATTTACATTGACAAAAATGTCAGTGTAAATTTTTTTTATTGAACTAACATTTTGTGCTAGTGTAAACCATATAAATGTCGATAAATTTTTTGAGGTACAACTTAGAGTAAGTTTTTTGTTGTACTCATTGTGATAGAGAGTAAAATATATGTGCGTCTAAAAATCTCATGTACAATCAATTGTATCTCAACACCGATGTAAATAATAAAAATAGGGATATGCTAGGGGTACACCAAAGATGTACCCCAAATGTACACCACTTGCCTCTACACCATTCATTTTATTTTCTTTTTTTTTTTGAAATTTTCTTGTCTTTTTTGTGTGGTGATGGAGGGGGTGGGGGATGTTTGGGGTACACTTTTGGTGTACCCCTAGCATTTTCCATAAAAATAACAACTGTTTTGTACTACGTATCTTAATACTGTTTCCGACAAAAAATGATTCGATCTGTTTTTGATTTGAGATCTGACCCGAAAATATTGGGTTTTGAACATAAGTTTTGCTAATCGAACCCGAAATGACCCGTTATAAATGTGTCAGACCCAACCGAACCCAAACCTAACTTGACCGACCTGCTAATATGAAATATAATATTATAAAAATAAGATTATAATTATATTCTTCGTAACCACTCGTTTTTTGTATAAATTTATATTTTCATAATACATTTTAATGATGATATCTCATAACTATCTTACATTATTTCAAAATTTTTACATATTAATTTTTTTATTCGTAATATTGACACTACGTCAATTTCAAAAAAAAATAAATGAAACTCGTAATCCGTTGGGTCAACCTGAACTCGATAACACTGATTCATGAATATGTAGTGGTCAACTCGAAAACGAACTTATCCGAACCCAAAGTGACTCAACCCGAACTTGACCTAACCGACCGAATTGCCAGTTCTACTGTGTTTTCTCAAAATATATTATGCAGTTATTAATCTGACTTATAATTTTTATTTGTTTCAATATTTTATCAACCTCTTTCCATCATCTCCGATGGAGCCAAAATTTCACCATTTTTTGGCTTTGGGGTGTGGTGGAATAAATCAAAATGAATCTCTAAACTGTCTGCGCTTTTTTAATTAATGAAGTAGCAGTTAGTTAAGCAATGCAACTTTCGACGTTGAGCCGGGGGTCTCTTTGGAAACAGTCTCTCTACTTTCGAGTAGGGGTAAGGTCTGCGTACACACACCCTCCCCAGACCATATTCTTGTGGGATTTTACTGGGTTGTTGTTGTTTGTTTTATTTTATCAACCTTTATTAGATTAGAGAATTCTATCGCTACTAATTTTGTATAACTTTTGATGTATTTTTTAAATCTGTACATTTTATTTTTTATTTCTCTTAATTTGTAAATAAAATAAAATTAAAAAAAATAAAATTTTACTAGTTTTTTGAAATATATGATTTAATTTGAGGAGATGGGAATATTGTAAGGGAGTACTCTCTAGGTAAGAATATAAAACTATAAAAATACCAAAATATGACTCATAATAATTTTAGAATCTAAATAAAAAGTTATACTGTCATTGTTACATGCCAAACTCATCAATTGTCACATTTTAACTGTCACACTATCATTGTCATACTATCATCCGTTTCCACCGGTCATCATAGTAACGTCGCGAATCTCCGATAGTTGGCAAATCATATGAACATATTATATTGCCATCATTTTTTTCTTCACCCTATCAAATATGTACCCTAATACCCTAATACCATATATGTACCCCATTTGTCCCTCAACCCCTCCATTACCACTTAAATTGACAAAAAATTTAAAAAAAAAATTAAGTAAAAAAATAAAAAATAAATGAATGGTTATGAAAGGAGTGATGTACAAATGGGGTACACCAAATGGTGTACCCCTAGTTATTTTCTTTTTTCTATTTTCATCCCACCTTTATTTCCTCCAATAAAATCTACCCAACGCACTCACAGCATTATTGCTCCCTTTTTATTTTTATTACTCCGTATTATAACCCACTCGTCATTTTCATTCTTCCACCCACTGAGCAAAGAGTGGGATTTTCAGATTCTTTTTTTATCTATTTAATAAAAAAAGAATGAAATTTCTTATCAATTTGCAGGAGTATATGTAATGTATATCTCCATCTATATATGCGGTATCCATATACATATATGGCTGGAGATGTGTTTGGGTGTAGAAAAAGATTCAATTTTGAAGAGATGTTGTCGCTTTCCCCCTTCTTCTCTGATTCTCATGGCGAAAGCGACCCCTCATCTTCATTTGTATTTATATCCATATCTGTTTGCCCCTTTTTCTCCGCTCCACTCCCCTTAATTTCCGCAGGAAAAAAAGGAGAAATCTTTGACCCTTCTCTTCCAATCAAACGCTGCCTCTCACTGTTCATTTTTTTCCCTTCCCCGTTCTTTAAATTTATTGATTTCTTCACTTTTCAGATCTGCCCCTTTTATGTCCCTGTGTTGTTCATTCATTGCTGTGAAATGACAATACTATGAACCTGACGTCAATGATAAAGCGTTCAAAGAATTATTGAAGATATATGTGGCCATATTTTCTGGTTTCTGTGCACCCATTTTCTTTCTGTTTTAATTTTGATATATCTTTTTTTTTGCAGTATTTTTGCTCAAAGATGGTATCTTGCAAGATTTTCTTGTGTTCTGATTTCATTGGGGAATTTAAATTGATTGGTTTTTATTATAATCTTGTGTTGTCTATGCATGCTTATCTTACTGAGAGATTTTTCCTGGGTATTATTGTTGCAGAAGTTCTGTGAAGGAGTTAATTTCACCCAGTGAATTAAAATTGAGTTTCTGTGATTAGTTATTGGGTTTAGTTAGGGTGAAAGTGAAAGGATGATACTTTTGGTGTAATTCTTTGACTTTTCATTCAAGTACAGTCTGATAATTCAAAATGTTTTTTCCCTCAACAAAAAAAGTTTTTTTTCTCCTGCAAATGTCATATTGCCATGTTTTTTCTGTTTGGTTGCAGAAAGATTATACTTTGGTATTTTTTGGGGGTGTAAACATTTTTTTAAAAAAATATTAAGACTGGGTTAGAAATTTGTGATGTGTTTTCTGATGCTTACTGGCTTTGTATGATTATCCTACCTTTAAAGATGATATGCATACATATAAAATTTATTTAAGTTTTTGCAGATGCTGAAAAGAAGATATGGGACATTTGCAAACCACAAAGAGGACACCAATGAGTAATAATATATTTTGTTGTTTAAAGTTTAAACCATTTGAGAGGGTCTTTTACTGTAGAGATTTCACTCTTTTTATCCTTTATCCGGAGTATATATTTATTTTTGCATAATCTTTCCCTTTAGAATTGAAGGGGCTATATCGTTTTCATTTCTCATATACTTCATGAAGTGGAACCCCTGGATCTTAGCTTGCCCCTTTTGAGTAAAAAAGCTAGCTAAGGGCCTATCATTCTCAAGTGTGGAGTATATGTATATATTTTGAAGTATAATTTAGATGAGAACTTACGTATTGTTACATATATATATATATATGTATGTATATATATATATATATATATATATATATATATATATATTAAGATTACAAATTTTCCATCTATCTTATTTTTAGAAGTGTTTTAGTTTTAATGGCAACTATAATATTTTCAATACAATATGCTATTTCTACCCACTTATGATGCCTATGAATATGCCCATGTCCTACCAATTCTTCATGCACCATTTATTTTGTATATGTATGCTATGTTTTTTAGGGTAGAAGCTAGTTGAGAAATGTTGTTTTTTTGGGTGGGGAGGGTGGGTGATGGTAAAGAAAATAGTTATTGTGGTTTCACCTTTAAAAATATGAATGAAATTCACATTTGATTATAATTTTTAATTTTCTTTACATATATTATTATTTACTTGTCCTAAAATGGTAGAAATGCACAATTATAAACAAATTGAGTTTGAACCAAGATCTGAAAGTGGTTTTATTGAGTTTGAAGTAGTTGTTTTTCCCCTAAAATCTATTTTCCTCCGCATCTGCCCTCAGTATATTATTTCCTTGCATTTCTCAGGCTTTCAAACATGCCTGAACTGTCTGTCTGTGTGGTTAAGATGGAAAAACTGATGTCTTTTTTCTCATGCTGTATTGCATCTCCGAATAAACTACTGAAGGCTTATACACTAAGAAGATGATTTGTGAAGTTTTGTGTGATAATTTGAGCAGTGATGAAAACGAAGAAGGTACAAAGGCTTAGGGGATTGGTCTGAGAGAGCTTCCTCCAGCCCACTCATGGATGAGAAATGGGGTTGAATTAGCTGCCGCCTCATTCATCCAATCACTCAGTAGAAAAAGGATGTGCTACGTTCTACTGTTGTTTGAGTGAATGATGCGGGAGATAGTTTTCTATCTCGCTCATTCTTTGCTTGGACTGAAGGGAGCTCCCTTTTCCTTCTGCCTCTTGCTTCCTTCTTCCTCCAAGCATTAGGGGAAGGTTTCCTTACCCACACCCTCCCAAACCATACTCTTGTGGATTTTGCCGGATTTGTTGTTGTTGTTGTTGTTGTTGTATAAAAGTCTATTTTTTCATGAAACACATTCTCTTGATGAACCGTGAACAAAGAATGATCTTTTTATTCAAACATACTCTCAAACACTAATTGCCTATCTTTTGCACCGCTAACTACTGATCTTCTTAAACATCCTTTGGATCTAGCATTCCCATTTCATCAATTGCCGCTTTATTGCATTTGGAAGTCAGGTACGCCAAGTGTTCCACAGGTGTATTGAGCATGTTAATTGCTGTGATTCCCATGAGATCTATACATAATTGTACTTGCATTTTCTGTTTGGATGAGGTGTTTTGTAGCCCGAAAGTTTCCGGAGGGCTTAGTCTGCATCTTTATCTTGAAACAAGTAGAACTTTTCTTAAAACAAATAAAAGATGATTGAATTACATATTATGCTAATTTCTTTATTGATATAATCTTAGATACTCTATATATGTGCAAGGGCTTCTCCTCTACGTCCTCTGAAAAATGCTCATCCAATCCACAAACAGCCCCCGAGTGTCAAGGTGAATCTTCAATATTGAGTCTTGGGTCAAGTACCCACCATATTCCTTCTGCTACAAAGGTCTCATACAGTCTTTAAATGTTTTGCAGTTGAAAAGATGTGTTCTTGATTATGAAGAATGAGCTTCTGTTGGATTTACTGTCAAATATATGGGTAAAGATTCTAACTTTCAACTGAATTGAATCAACCGTGTAATTCAATTGTGCTCAAGAACATCTGCTACAATATCTACGGTCTGCTCATCAGTTTTAATGATTTATCTTAAGCAAATCCAAATCTTGTTGTCTTTGCTTCTACTGAAAATTGTCTAATTTCTCTTTTTTTTTGATTTTCTATAAAATGTTTTCTTTTTTGTAATTATGGTAAAAAGATACTTGACCCAATAATTTTCTTTGCAAGTGGATGTAGCCTGATGATTATTTTTATTATTTTATATATATTTTTTCCAAGCTGTTAGCTAGGTTATTCAAAAATAGGTCACACTATTTTTCATTTCAGATAAACAAAACTTAGGGTTGCATGGCACTGAGGTGATTCCCTTTAACTTGCCAATTTTAGAGAAGACCTGAAAGGGATGGAGTGGGGGACCTCTGCTTCAAATTCTGTTTAGAAAAGGACCTTCAATGAAAAAACTGATTAAATCTCTAACAATAACATGGACTGGTGTGTAATGGGCTGTTTTTAGCTTCTTTTGTTTTAGGGTAAGGGGGGGTGGGGGGTAGGGGTGGGATGCTATGAAATTGTCAAACAATTCCATTTGTTGTAGGGTGGTCCATCTTGTTTTATTTCTGTGATAGGGTAATTTGCTACTGTGTGTCAATGAACTGTGCATCTGGTGCATGTTATGTTATTATGGGCATTGTGTCAAATTAATGAACTATGGTCCCCTACACAAAGCACCTGTAGGGTGCTGCAGAGCCATATGCCCTAAAAATTTCTGACCCTTTGTTTTTAGGGTGGGTTTTTTATAATTGTTTTCTTTTTTCTTTTTTAACATTTTATTTTTAGGGCCAAGGAAATTGAGTTTTGAACATACAGCCATATCCTAGCTGCTGCAACTGTGTCATCAGCACCAGTATGAAGTTCTGGTGGATTGAGTGAAGGGTTTCAGCTGTCTTTGCTCTGTGATTTCTTTCTTGTAAGCATTACTTTTTCTTGCATTTTGGATTGCAGATTAGGGTTGATTTCTGATGCTTCTCTAAATTTATGAGGATGAGATTAGTAAACTAACATTGTAAAATACATGTAAAGTGGATGGTAATATCCTGTTTGACACAAGTAAGATATGGTAACATCTTGTTTTCAAATGTATGTTACTCCCTCTGTCCTATAATGATCTTCTTGGTTCGCAAAACGAAGAAAAATCTCAAGTTTTTTCAATCTATTTTATTTAAATATTGGTATAGAAATAAAAAATAAAACATACATATTTAAAAACTACATCAAAAGTTTAACAAAATAAGTGGTGACAAGAATATTTTATTTTATCATATAGACCATGAAAAAGCACAAATAAATATAAACTTCTGTGAAGTTGGAATAGTGCTCTGGGAAGATCATTATAGGACGGAGGGAATACTAAATGAGTTTAGGCATAAAAAATTGAACCTTATCTCTACGCAGTGACACCGGAGGACGGTGCCACTCCGGTGTCACTGCGTTTTTGGGTACTCCCGGTGCTCTGTTCGTAAAATATCGATTAATTTGTAGCAAATCATATATTTTTAAATATCTAATAATTTGTACCAAATCATTATTTTCGTAGTAGTTTGATTTGATTTTAATTTTATGTCTAAACTCATTTGGTATCGTACTATTTGAAAACAATATGTTACTATATAATAATTGTGTCAAAACGTCTCGATTCAAATGCTAATGTCTTTTCAGGTTCGGTACATACATTTACTCCGTATGTGAGAAAAATTAAATAAATTTTTAATATCAAATTGTGATAGAAGACGTGAGATTTGTTCATAGTTCTAGCAATGATTTTAAACAAAAAAAATTAAGAGATTTTTTTTTTTGCTATGAATTGAATCTGGCTACCACCTGATATTAAAAATTTACTTTCAATTTGATAATAAAGAGAATTTACTTTCAATTTGGAAGTTAAAGAAAATTTACTAATAAAATGTTAAAAGTAAAATTTCATGATTTTGGATGATAATATTTAGAGAGAAATCAACAATCAAGGTTTACCACAACTTTTTGTAAAAGGTGAATGTTTACAGATGGATTAATTTAAGATGATTTTGGACTAAGTTTTTTTTATTTAACTTTGTTTTTTTTTAAAATCAATTTGGAAATATGTTGATCATTTCTTAAAATTTTTATGGTACATGTGTTTCAAACTATACATATATTGAGTATTTTTATTAGAAACATGAAATATAAATGTATTTTAATAAATATATAGAAAAAATGAATTTACAAGATGGGAATAACAAGTAGGATAATAATGCAAGGCAAGACTTGCTTTTTACAATATATTGTTAATTTTGCACTACCCATTGGAGGAACAATTTTGCTATAGTATCTTGTATATAATGTACTCGTATTTTTTACAATATACAAGACCCATTGGAATTACTCTAACATAGTGAAACTCAAGAAGTACGAAGTTTGTTGAACATAGTGGAATTCATTCGATTGAAAAGAGATTAAAGGTACAAAACGAATTGAACTCTTTCGTTTATCAACTCATACGAGTGTGACTATGTTCTCCTGAACATAGCGAAACGAATCGTTACACTAATTCTTGTTTAATTGATGGATGATAGAAATAAAGTTTTCTAAATGAGATGGAGTTTGCAAGCTACAAAGATATACTCCATTAACCTTCTTATTCTTTATACCATGTGAGTAAAAAATGATCCAAGTTATACTCTATTTGAATTTAATCTTCTCATTTTTTCATATGAATGCATGTGCAGACAATAGTAACCCTTCCCTTTACTAATAAATTTCCAACAATCCACATTTATTTTATAGTAATATTATTTTAGATAAATTCATCCCATAAAAATTAGGAATAATCAAAATAAAAATATTACATGCGGACCGGAAAAGTACTTTTTTTGGGTAACCTAAACCAACTTTTGAATCATTTCATCTTTCACTAGCCAATCTAACCACAAACCATGTTCCTTCCCCTTTTTGCCTCAAAATTAGTGAAGAATGTCCCAAAGACAAACTTCTTTAAAACATTATCCATCCATTTTAAAATAATTTACATGAAAGTCAAAATGAAGTGAATTTCAAGTTTTTATATTCATTTGATTTAGAAATAGATATATAAATAAAATAAAATAAAATAAAATAAAATAAAATAACTCCATATATCTAAAGATATTTAATTTTATCAAAAAAAACATTAAGAAA